AAATTGCAAAACAAATAAATGCAAATGCAGAGCGTCTGGAATTTTATGCAATTTTAAATATCATCAAAGTTTACTTTGTTTTGAATAAATAAATAAAACATGTTGTTTAATAAATAGAATCAATTATATCTAATAAAATAAATGTTGTATCAAGTAAAAATAAATTAAAACTTGCATCAAATATATTTTAATAATTAATTGTTAACTTAAGTTAATTAATTTTATTGAAATAAATATATACTATAAATGTATTAATAATATTTTACATTAGCCATATCATGATAGCTAAAGTTACTTTAGCCGGTAATCTATACATAATCCATTTCCTAATAATTTGTATTCACAGCTTAAGTCCGAATCTAGCTCATGTGCAAATTATCCAGATAATATGAATATTATCCAATTTCGGACTTCCGTAACATACGTATTAAAACAAGCTGCACATTACATAACTAAATTATTATAATTCATTAAAAAATATATTGACCACAAATGTTTGAAGTGCACTTTGAATCGTGTTAAACTCGTCATCATAATAAATAGTTAAGTAATAAAATAAAATGGTAGTGAATAAATTCTATACTATAGACTCTATAGTACAAAATATAAAATATATATTACCTGTAAAGTAGTTGAGTGTAATACTATGATATGGAAAAAATAATTCTCTTGTGGACTTTTTTTTTTTAGATCTTCTTTAATATAACAAAAAATTTCAAAAAAAATGTTAACGGTTTTGAAAATAATTATAAATGAGAGGTATGATTCTTACATTTTATATCATCCTTATTCGTGTTTGTTGATGAAATCCGTTCATAGATGCAGATTTTTAAATTATTATAAATGCTAACTTATATTTTCAATTGAATGGTAAAAGAAAAATATTTTCATATAATATGTATCATGATTATTGATTATTAATTGGAGCAATAAATTTCTTTTGTTATGTAAATTACGTAAAGTTCATGTATGAGAAAAATAACCCCCGCGATTTTTGACTATAATAATGCTTTGCTAATTTAAACTTTAAACACATATAAATAAGACACTAGGTACCAATTTTATAAATGAACGATAAAATAAATCAAAACCTTACAAAAAACCTATGTTATAAATTATATATTATAATCTGGAAAAATTTATTTTTATTTGTAACAGTTAATTATTTTATGGTATGTAATATTACTAACTATAGTTTGAAAAATATATTTAATTATTTAATATTTCAATAACTATTCAAATTTATTATTTTATTTTTAATTCAAATATATACCTTATATAACCTACCCAATCAAACAATATTAAATATGTATAATTACAAAAAGATAAATATAAATACGTTTATTAGATAAAAAATATAATATAAACATCTTTCACTGTAAGAGTAATTATCAAATCAAACCATATATAATTATAAAATATATTGAATAACGAAGATTCAATAATGTAATCATAAGATATATAAATATAATATGGTAGAAATATATATCATAAATCATAATTATTAAATACTAACAATAATATAAAAATTGAACTAAATTAACTCACTGTAATATACAAAAAAAAAGAATCAATTTTGTCAAAAACTGATTTCATAAGAATTCCTGTTTTCCTAATCATTTTGAAAAGTACTAGGAATTTTTTACTTTTAACCCTTCTCCCTCAAAATTAAAAATAAATAAATACAAAAATACAAACTTCAATTTTCTAACAAAAATACTCTCAAAGTTAAAAGTCGAATTTTATGCAATTTTATTACTCCAACAAAAAAAAAAACAACACACTATATCAAATCAATGCATTCATCGCTCCTCTCAAGCTCGGTGTTCATAAACAAAAGTTCAAGATGGTAAAAATTTGTTGACACATCATACATTTGATGCACAGAAATTAATTGTTCAATTCTATATTTTAATATTGTATAAAATTAAAATATAAATCAATTAGTTTACTTACTTATTAAAGCCCCAGCATTAAAACTATGTTAGTTTTGTTAATTAAAAATGTTCTCATTTAAAAAACTTGTTTATAAAAAAAAAAACAACACACACACACATCAATATATAACCAATATAATCATAACGCAGAAACCAAAACTATTATAAATTATAATGCATATTGTGATATATGGTGTACATACAGGCTGTTTAGATATGGGTAGGGTATAGCAATCATTGTTTTTATAATCTGGATCTCTGACAAATATATATTATCATCAATTGTTTCGACGTAGTATTATAATATGTATCTGAGTATGATGTGAAATCTCTAAATACCAGACACTCTCGTTCACAGAAATTTTTTCCGGTATTCAGCAAGTTCAGCTTGTAGAAATTCTGTTGTTTGTTCGATTTATACAACTAATAAAACAATAGGTATTAAAATCACCGTTCCCCACGTTGCGTTAAATATTATATTGGATCTCGCCAAGTACGTTCTAAATCTACTCAAAGTCATAAACAGCTTCTTTTAAATTCTATTAAAAATAACTAACATTTTAATTATTTAAAGAACGTAATTTATCATGGATTTTCAATTTAAGTACCAATTAAATCAAATTTGCTCGTAGAAAGAAAAAACTTGATAACGCAAATATTTAAAAACTTAAAAATCACACATCATCTTAAATTGCATTATCCATCATTATTCATCACTTCTCTCAGAATAATACGTAAATATAACTACCTTACTACCTAAATTGTATTCAAGTGCATCTCACCTAAGTATGTAAAAATCATTAAATCGTGTTATGTGTAAAATAAAAGAAGTCGCCAACACTAAAATATAACAGACTGATTTACATTTTACACTAATTTAACAATTGTTTTTTTTTTTCAAAACCGTAAATTGTTTATTTTTTTATTTCAATTTTACATAGGTATACCTAGTTTTTAATTTAGTAATTTTTCAATAATCACTTTCACTCTAAACCACGGAACATGAAATTGTTTTTGTAATAATTATTATTTATTACTAGCTGCATTACACGGTGTTGCCACAGAGAATAAATATAATCGAAATAGACAACCAACTGTAATGAATATTATATTAAAATACTACGTAAAAACTAATATGCAACTTTTTTTTTTACGTATAACCAATTACAACAGTAAAAATAGACGAATATGCGGTTATAATTTAAGCATTATTGCAAACGGGTAAGGATCCCTAAAATAACTGGTTCAATCTATTATCTAAATCTTTCTTTAACCATCAAAATTGATCAAGTATTTTTGATTTTATAAGCTAGCTCAACTATATGTATTATATTTTATATAATAATATTTAATATAATAGATGTTACCGTGACCAGTATTACTTCCGTCCGGAATCCCGAATAATATGTGTGCAAAATTGGTACCAATTGGTCGAAAACTGCGAATTTTAATACGCATCATTTAGACGTAATCCGACTAATGATAATATACGTACAATAATAAATAACTATTATAATCGATTTATCGTTTATATCCGTTTTGCTTTAGTTGAAATATTTTCGACTATTTTTTTTTTTTTTTTTAAATCAATCGAGTATTTTTTTAGTACATTAACCTTAATCTAATATATATATTATATTTTTACATTTATAAAAAATTATAGTTATTATCCTTAAGAACAAAAAATAATACAGTAATAACAATTACGCCCAATCATATTAAATATTTAATTACCTGTAACCAATCGCAATCCTATAAACAGATAAAAAAATATTCGACTTACGTGAGCCGAAATAAAATTCATATGTAATCCACTCTACATACAACCTTATGAGTAGAAAAACGTATCTAAAAATCCGTCCTGAGTCTTTAGGAATCTATTGACATAACTTTTGTTTAAATCGGACCAGTAGTTTTTAAATCTATAGAGAACAATAAAAAAAAATAAAAAAGAAACGTTCATTTTTATACGCAGTAAAACCTCTTTATAACGACTTCCCTATAAGACAGAAATTCCCTTACAACTTAAAATAATAATAGTCTCGTTAACCTATATAATTTGTCCGTATATTTTAGTCTCTTTGTAACAAAAACGCCATTATAATGGAAAAACCACTTGTAGGTCCCCGAGCGAATCTATCATAAAGAGGTTTTATTGTACCTACATAATATATTAAAATGACGAAAAATCAACTTTGCATTATTTCCGGTATTTAGTTTAATTAGAAGTAAGAAATTTATATTAAATATAAATCGTAAACATTGATGTTTTTAAAAAGCTGTATTAAATAGATGTCGACATAATTATTTTTAAATCAGATTTACCTAGATATTATCAATTACCGTGAACACTAATTTTCATTCAAACAATGAATATAATAATATATATTATGTATCCTACCCAAAAACAAAGTCCTGGGTAATTACGCGACTGACGAATGACGGTACGATTGGTGTATATATGTGCAATAATAAAGGACATTAATTGAGGAAGGGCTCTGGTTCGTGTATAAAAATACTCATATGGTTTAACACAAAGTGTGTCATTTGATCTACTGCCGGTAAAAATATGATATATCGTAAAATACAATGATCTCCGAAATTAGTCTCAACTCTTCGCAATTACTTCGACGGTCTAATCCCCTCCCGCCACAAGTTTAAAACGCTTTTCGCGGCTATGATCGTACAGTGGACACATCTGACATAGTGGTTTTCGTATATCATTATTGATGTTACGATGAATATTATTACCGTTTAACGTTACTCGCGTACATGTCATAAGTATAGGTGCCTAATAGTAGTGATTTGCGATATTTGCGTCCTAGGCATGTCGGTGTCGACGCGTCTTCGGACGAACCGGTATAGTGTGTAATAATAATAATACGTACGAGGTACGGAGGACGGCCGTGACCGTGGTAGTGGTATTCGGCCGCGGTTGACGCGGGCGAACCGGTGCGTGAATTGTTTTTTTTTTTTTTTACTTTTCGCTTTTCACCGGCTTTCGCACTCTTCTACCGCCCCAAATTCGTCTGGTGGGAATCAATTAAATACCCGGCACCGGACTGTACCGGCAAACATTCGACCGGAGCATTTTGCTAACGCGTGCAGCACTCGCCCGACACGCAACGGTACAACACGTGCACGACGTCGCCGAGTCTCCTCGACAGATTTCCTACTGTGATTTTACGTATTAAATTGTTGTTAAACGAACAGGTCATCGTCCGTCCATTTGTCCGATCGACTTTTTTACGCGGCACGTCTTCCAGTTTATCGCGACTTTTGCGAATTTTGTTTTTCGTTCAATATCCATTGACTGCACGTCCACACACGCCATCGACGAATCCCAAGCCATACACAGGTACCTATAGAAATACTCAATGTTATGTTTCAGAACAGTAACATTAAAATTAATATAAATTATATTAATAGTTTAACAATATATGGTAATATAAATTGCCGCCGGACAGACGGCGACCACTCACAGCATCGCTTATGATACATCTTATACTCGTACATATAAGCGTGCACAGGGTTTGCAGTTAATAATAAAAAAAAAATTTAAACGCTCATACCGATGTTTTAAAAATATAAATAGTTACTATTATTATTATAACTGATACATAAGAAAATGTTTGGTTTTTCAACATTTTATTTTTTTTTTTTTTTGTACCTTGAAAAACAAACACACATATATCTACTTTAATTGAAAGGAATATAATTTCACAATTCTTATCACATAATTAAGCTGTAATTAACATCGATCGTACATACATAATTTGTATTTTTTATTTTTCTAAAAACTATTATTTTTAGACTATTTTCCATCTAAAATTATCTTCCAGATGGTATGCATTTGCACTGCATTCTACATACCCCGTGCGCACGCTTATGCTCGTAGATATGGTAGTTATTGAAACGGTATGTGGTACGGTTCATCCATATTACAAAAGCCTTCCCTAGAAGTCTAAAAATGTATTTTGGTTTAAGGAAGGCTTTAGTTTTTTGTTAAAACCCGACTTCAGATTTTAGACAGTTTGTGAATTTGTGATTAAGAACTACATGAATTTAATCCACCAACAAAATATCACTAGTAAAACATCGCGTGACTAAAATATCGCAACTTAAATATCGCGAAACCAATATATCGCATTGATTAAATATCACCAGAATGAAATATAGCGGTAATTTAATTATAAATAAAAAGTATTGATTATTTATTGATATTTTCTAATAGTTATTAGTTATAAATAATGATTATGATAATCTGTAACTACTATTTTCAAATTCGCTGTAAAATTGTTCTATACATTATTTTTTACTACACCTATCTATATTTCTATTATTTTTCGAACTATTTAACCAATTTAACAATTTAATGAATAAAACTTTAAATTTCAATTTATTAAGTATAGCGTTATGTAGTCACCAAAGTTTTAATCAATTATATATTATATTATTGATAATATTGAAAAAAAATTAAGGAAAAATAAATTGATAATATTAATGTTTGAATTTTTGGTACCATAATATGTATAGTTATTTAAATAATTATATGATATATACAGCATAATAATTCGCAATATCTATAGATTTAAATTTTTAATATCATGATATGTTATTCCGAAATTTTTGTTTTAAAATGTTAAAATATATACAATCTACACAATTAATTTTGTAATAAGTTAATTAATTAATAATGTGGCGTAAATGTGGAGATGTAAAAGTGCCATCCATAATTTTTCAGCAGAAAAAAATAAAAAATAATGTCAAATTTAAACGTAATGAAAAAGTATTAAATTTCCCTAAACTTTAAAATATCCATAAAAAACTAATGAAGATAGGATACTAAATAATACACTTTATTTACAAAATTATATCAGTATAAAATTGCACTTTGTTTATTCTATTAAAATATATAAGCACACTTAATTAATTTTCATTAATAAATGATAAGCCAAATTTAAATTTTAACAAATTTGAATCATGTAACTATGAGAGTACCTAAACATATTAATGTATTATATCTATAAATAATTCAAAGAAATATTATATGTCAGTTTTATATGATAATATTGAATTAATTCTTGATTTTTTAACAATCCTTCTTATGTTTAGTATCTACTTAAATATATCAACAAAACAATTTTTAATATTAATTATGTTTATCATACTATATTTATTTATACCTTTATTCCTTTATATTATTATAGGTAGAATTATTAACTATTTACAATAGATACAATATATTTCTGTTTCAACAATTTTTTTTATTGATTTATTTATAAATTTTTACACAAAAACTAATTGAATCTACTAATATCAAACATTTCATTACAAATATCAATTATCAATACAAATATTAAAATTTGAATAACGATAAACGATAACCTACTTTTTTTTTTGCCTTACAATATAACTTCTGGAAAATATCACATTTTCTACTGATAAATATATAAATTCAGATATTTAATGGATCCGATATTTTTCTAACTAAATTATAGGTAAACGAAAATGTTATTAGGTTAGCGAAACAAATAAATAATGACCACTTACAAATAAAGACTGAAAATTCAAAAAAAAAAAAAAAGTTTGTAAACTATTATTATTCAGACACGATTCATTTTCGAAATTCAATCTTTAAATTAGAAAAATATTTTATCAACAAAACATCATAAACAAACTAATTTTATTAAATACATATAAAAACCAAAATAAGTAATTTCGCATTAATTGTAATTAGATACCATTTATTATTCTCCCCCCTCTCCAAAAAAAAAAAATATAGTAAATTATTTTAAGATACGATATGTATTAATAACCAATAAGTATACAATGAGAATAAATATACTCGTAATCTAATATTTTAATTAAAAATGTAAACAAAAAACTGTAAGGTCAGAAAAAACATTTATTCTAACAAATAAAATCATAAAATCAAAGTATCGCACATATATTTAGGTACTTATATAATTTTATCAAATCAATAAAATATTGTATATATTTAAAAATCTAAAAAGAATTTATCACTATCCATGACACTTGTACTTTTGAATTTACAATACTGTTAAATTAAAACTGTTATTTTATTCTACAAATGTAAATTTCATTATATACCCTATAGTATAATAATATACTATACAACAATAGCAGTTTGAATATGACTTTTTGAAGATGATTAGTTATACAAATAGAGGATATAGAGGATTACCAAGAAAATAACAACCATAAAAACTAAAAAGTATACAATTTTATTGTTGTATAACATAACATAGTTAATAATATATTACGGACATTAAAGAACGTAAGTGCTGTCCAGCGACGATGACTGATAGTCAAAAACTTATATTTTAACTTATTAGCTTATATTTTTAAAGTCATTGTAAATTGTTTTCATTTTTTATAAATAAAAAAATATTCTCAGAAAAATACTAATCGTAAAAATTTAAAAATGTTTTAAAAACTTGTTATACGTCGTTCAAAAATATTATAGTCATTTAATTTATTGTAAACGACAATAAATAATATCAAATGTATAGTGTACATGCGAAGAATGTATTTTATTTCGGGGCTAATGTTATTACACTACGTATACAATGATTTGTCCATAGTATGTCTGATGAGTTGAAATATAAATAAGTTTTTTTTAGATACATATTTTTTTAAATGTACAAAATGCCGATGACATATTTAATCAACCATAGCAAACTAGTGTTCACGTGTCTCTTCCTTAAATCATTGTCAAACTCAGTTAATATATATATATATATATATATATATATATTCTCGAAGATATATGGTCTTATGTGTTTTACTACGTGGAATTTCAATGAATATAACTGGAAACGTGGATTTCACGCTTAATGGAAACACTTATTTTATTAGGTTTATTCAGAATCTCATTTTATAAGATTTATTAGGAATTACTGAGTGTATAGGTTCTCTCATTTTTACGAAACTATAGATCGATAACACTATTAATATTATTATAATAATACAATTAATTGTTCATGTCTCGAATCATAATTGTTTAATAACAATTTCGAATTGAATAAAATTATTCTTCGAATGTTTGATTACTTTTTCATAAGTAAATTGACGTTGAGAAGTAGTTCTCGGCTTAACAAGACTTATGTGATGAAAAAGAATACTATATAAGTCTGTGTACCACCACTCCTTTATTAGCTGTTGCTTGAGTATTAAACTCGTCTCTAACGGAGCTCGAATATTTACCCTTGGGATCAAACTTTTATGTCTCTCGAGTTTTGACAGTTATAATTCGATAAAAATAATAATACGAACTCTTCAAAAAAGCTGCTCAAATCATAGATTTTCATCACAGTACAAAAAAATGCTAACAAAATAACACGAGTAGAGTGTGTTTTTCTTTTTTCTTTTACGTTGAGTAATCTAAAAGGACATTCATGACTTTTTAAAAACGATTTTTTTTTTTTAATAGTAGGTATAAAGAAATTGACTGTCCATCGATAGAAAATGTGATAATCGGTGTAACAACATATTAAACTGTTCTTTCATTTGAATCCTACATCAATTATTTCAATTTCAGAACTGTAAATCATTTTGGTCTAATCGAAGACACTTCTAAAAAAATAATAAGTATATAATAACTACTACTACTCATATATCATAAAATATGACATTTATATTAGGTATAGGCAGAGGTATATCTATCTGTGTTGCAAACCACGAAAAAACAAAAAAATTTAAATCATGTGTTATTTTTAGCACTATCTTACATAGGTTATTTAGCTAAATGCAAATCAAGAACTTTTAATATATTATACAATATTTACACAAATAATTGAATGAATTTGAAAAAAATATATAGAAAAAATGAATTTGAACGTCAACAAAGTAGTCTGCGCTTATAATTTAGTTGTGATAATTAAAATATATGTTTATGTGTGTGTGTTATGCCGTAACACTGTCACTGTGTACCGTTTATGCTGTAAACGTCATGTTCTGCAATTGTTATGATTTCGAGTTCAATACTGAATGACCTGGTTTATAATATGTATAGACCACTCGATTGTAAATTACTAGTTTATCAGAAATTCTAAAAAATACGTCTTTGTCACTCATTAAACAGCTATTCAAAGCATACGTCATAACAATAATAATATTGCTATAAATACATTGATCGCAGTATAAAACTAAACTATTCTTATAGGTGCCTACAAAATAAATATATAATAAATCGAATCCGTTGGCACACATACGTATGTAGACGAATAATTATATGATATGTGTATGACCTACGTATAATAAATATTAATTTGTGAAATTTCGTACGATGAATATTATATATGTGTGTGTGTGTGTGTGTGTGTGTGTGTGTGACTTTGCGCGTATCGGAAACGTTTCGACTCGCCACCAAAATACATCGGTGGTCGTCGGTCGATTTGAAATTTTTAAATCGTCACAAAAGTCGCGTGAAAATAACGATTAGAACCGCTCGTCGAATGTTAATAATAATCATATTTGTTGCCACAGCTCGTGGCGAATCACCGTCATCATTATTAATGGATGTGTAGGCAGTAGTTAAAAGCGGACACGGTCTATCAACAAAACACTGTGTTGATGTATTCCAAAGTGGCGTGATATATTGACAATTCGGTTTCCGACTAGAACGCGACCGGAATGACGTTTAAGGCTTAAAATCATTATTGCCACCGCACCGGGAGTTTCGATTAAAGAAACAATAATTAACGGACACAATGGGTACCTACGTTATTAGAAATCCGATCGTCGCGCACATGCATATTAAACAGTCGAAATGCGTTCACATGTATTTACTATTTGATTGTCAGCGATGGGTACCAAATACCTATTACCTATGTATGTTATAATAATATATACGGTGAGAGTATCGGGTGCCAGCCACGAATCTCTGTTGTTCACGACCGTCACATTGTGGTTTCATTGCGACTGGACACCCGCATGATATTAGACGCCGTCGATTACAATAGAATTCTGTCGAAAACGTATACACACACAATCATATAAGTAGAACTCCACTCCCGAGTTTGGATCTCACGATTGTCGTTCGATCCGAAGACAAACGACAATCATTATGCAAACTAGGACGATCCTCGAAATTAAGCCCACACGGATGCACACGATATGATTAAAATTTAAAAGTAAATCAACGTTCATAATATTAACTGCTCGGGCATGATCATCCGGTCGTGAATAATATATTAATATAAAAATGTGTTGAAAACGACCGATTACTTCATAAGTGGTATATGAATTTATTAATTTATGTGTTAAGAATTTAAAATATGCAAAAACATACACACAATGAGCTCTTTTATGCACAAAAAGAAAAAAGAAAAGAAATTGAGTGAAATCTATTAGATTAGTACCTAATACCTTTTACGAGTTGCAGAATTAGCTACATGAAAGTACGTTACCATATCCAGTCAATATTCATATTCCGGATATCCGGATCATTTTTGGATGTATAGACTATTTAAAACACAAAAATCCCAATTATAATCAACCTATAACAGAAACAGTTTCTACGACATTCATTTTTGAATAAAATATAAGATAACTATAGTCACACAGTTTTGTAAAAGTATCTACTCAGAATAGCTTGACAAATCCAAGTGCAGACAGGTTTATCGATAATGCCTTAGTCTGTCAGTAACTATCAACAAATGCGTTTAGTATATGGATTGGATATAAAATATTCCAATGAATTATTAAGTTATAGATTTTAGTTCTTCACTCCATATTTATTATTAACTATACAAACTATTTAAAAAAAATAATAAACAAAAACATTATTTGACAAATTATCGATAAAATGGACACGATCGTACCTCAATAAAATATATAGGTACCTATTGTATTAATATATTTAAAATAATATTCAAGTACTAACCTGCCTAATATTATTTATTTTTATGACTTAAATATTCATAAAAATGTAGAGTATCCACGAAAGTTAGATTTAGAAAATTGATAAGTATAAGAGTGTACGACATTCAAAATATATTTTAATCAATTTTATCTTAAATTATTAAAAATATATTTGACTAAATAATTTACTTTTCGTATTCTCTGTATAACTTTAGTATTATACATGCATTAATTTCTAATATAATATAATACATATTGTTTATCGAATTATTCTAATAATTTAGAAAATTAAAATACTATATTTACAGTAGTAGCGATTATTATTCATTTATTGGTGTTTAAAACATATCTTTAATCCGATATTTTATAATATTTACACTATTTGTTGTTGATAAAAAAACATGATGTTATGTAGTTGACCTGCTGATATACGCATATTATTGACGTGTAATCCGATACACGTTCCAATCCCACCATGCATGACATTGTTTTTAGACTATTGCTATAAAATATTAAACATATATGATATAACCTATAGACCAATAGACTTTGGGTTTGGAACTTTAAGCTTTTTCTGCTTGATTTTTTTTCACTGAGCTTACGATTCGATCAATTTCTAGTACTTATTTGCATGTATATTTATTTTTTAACATATTAAAGTATGCGCGCTGATTGCGCTGAATCTATACCAATTGTGAATCACTAGAAATTATACGATTGAATATTATTGTAATTTGTTTGTATTGTTTTTTTGTTTTTCATAGATTTTTAAGTCATCAACAAAAACAAGACATACACAATGAACAAGTTACTATCAATAATTGTCGTCTTGTCGGCTGTAGCTATTTGCTCGTGCCATGGTATTTTAGAACGTAGGAGCATCAGATCAACAGCATCTGAGGTTGCTGACAACTTAGACCCGATCACTGTTGACACCATCGCACCCCGAGATTCAGCAACCGCAGATACCGCAGATACCTCTGATATTTTTCATACAGGTAATATTATTGTATCTATAGCACTGTTGCAGGCCTCTGATCGTTTTAGACGCTAATTGTTTGCATTTATCTAGTTTTACGCAAACTTACCCATAACAGTTCCCGAACAAATGTATTCGATAAATAAGCCACGGATTGACACGTCTAATCATAACTATCGTTTTTTTTTATTATTATTTATTATTTGTATTGCTTTTTAATAACCAAATATTACTTATATATTGTGGTGTACACGAGTGTGTCCGAACAGTTATTAAATATTTGATAGAGACTTCAAGTTTCGAGTGGAAAAGATGTTACTGGCTAATGAGTATTAGTATTATTAGTATAGTAGTATTACAGATCATATAATACGAGTAACTGTAACGTTCTAGATTATACTAATTAATATACCATTATTTTATTGAAAAATAATAAAAAAATTCTTATACTCGGCAATACGTACTTAGTAGTCGTCTATGTTTATCACAATTATATAAAATGCAAACATTGGTTGTGTTTAATTTGTAAACCTCAGTTTATTAGAACTGAAAATTCAAATAAATCGAATAATCTCTAGAACAGTTTAGTTTGTTTTAGATATAGTGTTTACTTAAACGTTTGTATCTTTAGATTTTTTTTCCAACACACATCATTATTATACTATTCTTTGCCGTCTGTGGTCATGCACCGTAAAATGTGAGCCTTGAAATACTAACTCGTGATAATTATCCGAATTTCCCGTAGTATCACATAATTTTCTATGTAATAACGTTATACGCACTGAATTTTTATAATGATGACTTAATGTATATAAGATAAAGGTATATAAATCACTCGGCAATTACGAATTTGAATTCATTATAAAAATACATCATTTTTTCTACATCTGTATAACCAAAAACATTATACGACCTTATTTTTTGACCTTATTATTTAGTACTTACTATGATTATCTAACAAAGTAGAGTTCCTAACATACATTAAACATGTAGGTAAATAGTGTTTTTCTTCTTTTTGAATTACAACAGTATACCTACGCCGTAGGTACCTGCGTACGACGTACTTATTTAAACATACAAATTAATGTTAAAAACATTCTCAGACACTCGATCGGATTTATTAATCGAGATCATTTCACCGCGCATTAAACTATAATATTATATTGTATAGGTTCTCTTACTACAACTTATTCATTTGCCTTACTCGTATGTGATGTATATACGTACTGCGTAAACCTATACTTACCGCCGGGTTAGTCCCGAACCGTTATTAAAGTTCACATTTGGTGCTCCTATTTCTATAACCGTTGATTATAAATTAAAATAAACAGTACATTCAACGGTATGTAGAAGAAATAATAGTTTTGTTATAACTTACATTGTTATTTGTATAATCTGCAATGAACTAGGAAATAAAAACAAATATAAAAAAGTAAAAAAAAAAGCAGAACAAAATAAAGAAACATGACAAAAGCAAGAATAAATTAATTTCAATTTTATTTAGGAAAAAATATATCTTTTCTTTATTTGAAAAAAATGTAATGATAAAAAGGTTTATTATTTTTAAATATAATTTAACTGTTATTATAATATATTATGATGTTATCTGATGACATACGATAAGTAAACAAAAATTCAAAAAAGTTGTATTTGCTACTTTTCTTTCTACCAATCATACAATGTTGACAAAACACAAATTTAGTATAGAAATAAAGTCTTAAAATTCACCTTTACATTTTAAAGTGTAGCATTCCAAGCTAGAAAAATATAGTATCAAGAGAGTAATGCAAATAATCTAATATGCGGTTTTCTAAAAAACCGCATTCAATTAACAAGTAAAAGTAAATGATAGTTAAAGTGATTATCTGATTTCTAATCATGGGATACCATTAGGTACTCTATTTTGAGCCCTCTTCTTTTTATTGTATATATCAATGACTTATTGCATTGTATTATAAATTGTAATTAATCTATTTTCTGTTTTGCTGATGATACATCAATTATTATTGATGACATGAATAAAAATCATATTTACAAAAATATACTCATGTACTAAGTACCTATCATCAAAGCATAGTTTGATAATTACCTTCTAGAATTAAATTTAACCAAAGCTTGCTTTATAAACTTTACCATAAATTAATTGTCATTCAATAAAAATAATTATCCTAAGAGGCACCATAAAAAATTGTAATTTAAATACAATAACTACTATACGTTACGTATAGTGGTAATAAGTGTAATATTGCACTTCTATTTCTTCAGTTCAGAAAGTAAAATATTAAGGTATTACTATAGATACTAACCAAATCTATGCAAATTACCATAAACTTATAAATCAATAATTTCTTTTATATATATATATATATATATTTTTAATAATATTCTTCAAATAATGATTCCAATTTCGGTAAATTACTCAGCGTCGCAATAATTTTTGTTATTTTATTATTAAGTCGGAAATAATGTTTATCACAAAATGTCCATCAAATATATTGTTTGGTGCATTTTAAATGATTTTCTCGGTAATATACGTGTGATTAACACAATCACGTTACGAGAGTTACCTACTTAATAAATTGTTTCTTATAAAATTATTCATCCGTTTTAAAATAATTAATTAAATGTAAAGAAATTATTTATATTTATGATATTTCACAATAATTATGATAATAGTAGATTTATACATTTATTATATACTACCTAAAATATTTGTGACATAGTTATAAGTTTATTGCATAAATCATAAAATCATAACAAATTTGATTAAACCTACATTGTGCACATTGTATTCCGGGGATTTTTTCATAGATATATGCGATCTAAAAATATGTAATACAATGATCGTCTAAATGTATTTCACACTTTAAGACTTGTAAAAAATTGTGTTTCCATATTAAAGGACAATATTGATACTAATTTAAAAAATTTCGAAAAAAGCTCACGTACAAAGTCACAACACAAACATTATTCGAACACAAACGCCAAAAATCAAGACACTAAAGCTGGTTTATACGATGCATGTTAATAAGTAAATAGGTAAAGTTCTCTCGTGTAAGCCCAACTTAAAGGTAGACAAGGAAAGTAATTCAAAAATCAAAACGAGTAAAACATCAACTAAACTAATTTACTTGCGGGAGTATAGCTGATGAGGGTTGCGTAGGCAAGCACAGAACATAGTTATTATTCTTTAGCGCTGGTAAGTAGTTTCGTGAACGTACAATGAAAAATATTACTAGAAAAATAAATTAATGGGAATTATTTTTCTTTATAGCGACAGGTACCAGTTTGCAAACAGGTGAAGCAAATCTGCTCCCCCCTCCCCATAAAAGCTCGTGTTAAACTCAAAAAGTGTCCGTTCTGATTATTCTGTGCCATTGTTATACCACTTATACCTAAATTATAGTAGTCAGTTAATATATATATAGTACTTACTGTAATCTGTATTATAACGTGTACTGATGTACAATTATAGTAGTTAGGTATGTAAATAGTCAATAATTACTTAATTTAACAATCTATAATGTGACATGTGACATGTTTAATTGTCCATAATATAATACATAGATCACGAGATAAATTTAAATTGCACGTACTAATTACATAACATACAAAGTAGATTTATACACAATAGACATGAAATAATATACATACGGATACGAATATAATTGTCGTGGAATACTTTTCTAGATAGGTACAACTTACTATATACCTACATTTAGTCCAGTGGTGGGGCCAACTACTTTTTTTTCACGTATGAGATCCAACACAAAATCACCACAACTCTATGCCGACCACTACAGCGTGCCCCCGTCTTTAACGATCTTAAACCGTTTGTTTTTTTTTTTTTTTTTTAATTCTAATCATTAATAATATCGTGGTATTGTTGGGATGTATCACTTATTTCGTTTCTATATTTTATTCGCATATCCCAGTTGCCTCGACGCTGTAATGTTGTACACGCCCTCTTCCGATTGAGAGAGATGGACGAACCGTTCATCTCGTTCACTCTTGTATAAGCCATACATCGTTGCCACTGCAGCGTAATGAGAGTACCATACAACGAATTGTCATCACAAAAATGTAACATCACGTGCCTTTAATATAATACGTGCATATTGATTGTTACGAGCGAGAAAAAGAGCGAATTAGAGTGGTAGGAGAAGAGCGTTTGAGAACCCTTTGCAGGATTCGATATTCCTAGACGACCCCCTCCCCTATCCTTAACTACGATCGCGACCTGCGGTAATAACATAACGCGTATAGATATTATTATATTAATCACTGTAAGGCTGGGATTTTAATGCCCGAAAAAATCTCAAAAAATGCCCTTAAAAAATTCAAAAATGACTTAAAAACACAAAAAATGCATTTAAATTATATTTATTATACATTAAAAATTTGAAATGTAGTATATTTTTTTTTATTTTTTTTTTATTTTTTTTATCGTATTATTCGTTGTTACTTGTTTAGTCTGTTATAATTCTATTTTCTTAATCGTTCATTCTAAAATAATAATTCAAAAAAAAAAAATTGTTATCGACAATAACTTGTCGTGCTATATAATAATGAATAATAATTCATACCGTCAAAAGTTTGCCGAAAGTCATCTCTTGTTAATCGCAACAGTTTTCGTTCATTTTATGAACAAATTGTGAAAAATGCTCAAAAAACTAAAAAAAATACCCTAAAAATGCATTTAAGGTAAATTTTATCAAAAAATATAACAAAAAAATTAGGTACTTTAAAACAATCACTATCACCCAAAACACATTTTATATATTCTTACGGACCAACATTTCAAAACATTAGAAAAATCCCAACTCTATATTTAATCAACAATAATTATATTATATAGGTATACTATCGCGCGCCACAACACTATATATATAGTGGATAGCCAAACTTTTTTTGGCCGAGATCTTCTAAAAATATACTTCACCTTTGAGGCGATCGACTTCGATAAAAAAGTTTATTTTAATATCAAATTACTATTCCACCATAATTAATTTTCGTGTGCATAGCCTAAAATAAATTCTAACACGATTGACTTTGAAATCGTTTGCGATCGACTGTTTGACCGCCCCCGATATATACGAGTATAACACGGGTGGCCTACTTGCGGCTCGCGTCTTGTTTATGAAATCAAAATTTACCTGATATTATTATGAATTTTAATTTTTTAGGCTGTAGTAGATCGTAAAAAAAATATCAAATCGTGTAAAACGTGTCTATAAATGTTTTGGCTCTTGGTATCGTATATGTCGTATTTGTCCAAGTGGCCCGCGAACAGTATTCTGCATGTTGGCCACCCCTGCTATATAATATCTTACGCCTTACGAGTACCTACCTATATTATAATACAATATGATATATTGTAATCGACACCTATTCGATATTATTCCATAATAATTAATAACGCCCCGAACCGCGTGTTGCTTTCAGCTGCCAGGGTCAAGAGGGGCGGTAACAAGAACAAGATGGAGGCCATGCACGTGGGCTTGAGCTACGTGAAAATGATGCTCAACACCCTGATGGCCGTCATCGGGCACGTGTTCGCGTTCAAGAGCGTCGGGCTGAGCCTGATCAGCGTGCTCATACAGATCGCGCAGTTCGTCATGACGCTGAAGAAGAACCGGGAGAGCCAGCCGCCGTCGTACAAGATCGTCGAGACGCCGTGGCACACGTCGCCCACCGAGTCGTACGGAGCTTACGGTTCGTACGCCGGTCACGCCAAGTCGGCCGGGGCGGCGGTCGACTACTCGCCGTACGCCGCACCGGCGCCGGCGAGGAGGCGCCGGTAATGACGGGCGCGGCTGCACACGGTAGGATAACGCAATCGTTTCGCGGCGGCAGGAGTGTGCGGGGCCGACATCGACACGTCGCGGCGTACCGCCTATATGCGGAACAAACGACGGCGGCGACGGCGACGACGACAGACCTCCGTCGCCGCCAAATGCCACCTCCACACGTCGTCATCACGTCGTGTTACCGCGGAACACAACATTTTAGCCATTTTTAATTATTATTATTATCATCATCATCATTACCCGTAATATAATAATATGTATATGTATTTTATTTATAACGCGCAACGCCCACGTGCTTGCGTGTACACACACGAATAAATTATTTATTATAATAATTATTATTATTGTTATTTTTATTACCTGACTAGTAATTATTATTACGATTCGTTTGACGCGCGGCAGTCTGCACACCGCAGCAAACTTTACCTGCTGTATCTACATGGTATACGTCATATAACTGGTACCTATGCATATATATGGCGCCGAAGTCGACCGCGCTAGACATGAAATGATCAGTGGTCGAATTGGGAAAAATTAAGTAGAGGAGCTCAATCCGACTGTTTAAAATTTGCGTTCCAAACGCAAAATAATTTAATAAAGACCCACAGGGAGGGGGCTTTATAGGCCCTCAATCATCACTAGACTTTTTTGAATAATCTATACATTTCTATTTTACAAATACTTGCAAATTAATATTGATAAACACGTGAATTTATTTTTACCCAAATATTCAACTATTACAATAATTAATCGTCACTTTACGCAATAATTGTATAACACAATGAAACTATATCCGGAAAAATAAACTAAGAACTATAACATGTACTCATTACATTTTTCAACAAATTTTAATTACAATAATTGTACATTAAAACCATATTCGATGAAAAATGAATATGGGCATTAGATTACGCCATCCCTCCCTTCCCGTTCCATTAAGAAATCATAGCTGGGATACGCAAATGACAAAATAAAACAGTAAAGAAGTTCCGCACCCACCTTCCGATTCGAGCTCTGAATATAATACAATAATCACGTTGTTGTTTCTTTAATGTCTGCAATGACTAATTATTTGATTTTGCGCATCCGGAAATCGAATTGTCTACGTCGACGCGCGTTATTATTGTTGAATAATATTGAATAATATTGTCTCGTAAAACCCGTGCACCGCAGTTGTAGTGCAGCTCGGCGAATAACGCGTGCTGCAGCGTACACGTAAGTAGGTAGATAGATAGACACATTAACGTCATTAGTGCAATCACCGAGCGCGTGTGAGGTAGATATCTACGTATATAATATTAGCAAATACGCGTACCTACAGAATTGTGCGCCAGCCCCGTATGGTATAACGAGCTCGGATCGTTATACGTTGAAAACCTTCGTGTTTTATGCAAATCTTTAAATACATTACAGCGGTGCGTTATGATGACGGTGTAGGTATACCTGATACAATATTAATGTCGTATACGTTTTCAAATTCTGTCGTTTCCGATCATATATATATATATATAATATAATATAATATATATTATACAATGTATGAGGAATTGCGGAGAACAGTGAACACCGCCGAATAGAATATTTAGACAAAGTATTCGAGACGACCCATTTTAAGCGTACACGTGGATCGTTATTTTGAACAGTTCAGACTTTTTGAAAATATTTTTATTTATTTTTTTTATGTCAATTTACCTACGTTTTTAATTTCTAATTCTTAAACTAAATATATTTTTTAGAGTAAGTATACAGCTAAATAATACATACTTCGATACATAAAAGTAAAAATCGAAAAATTAAAAATATGATTTTTCATTCCAAAAAGTAAAAAAATTAAAAACTTTTTATGTATTAGGTACCTATATATATGGCCAATAACTCGCTTTTTAAGTACCTACTCTGATAAACTATATATTTGCAATTGTCCATATTAGTTAAAACTACTCACAAGCTCAACATTAGTCGATTTTTGGTTAATGACATAAACGTCAAAATTGTATTATTTAACTGCATAATTTTACCAATTACCATATAATATTAAATGGCTATAGATTAGATATAGGTACAATAATAATAAATTCATATACAAATCGTAAAATTCATATTCATTTCTACAAAACGTGTATACTATATTTATAATAAGTAGATCATATGTAGTTCTATGTATTTCTATTAATTTATTAACTTTTAAGTTCACTATTTTAAATTTTTACAGAAAATATTAATAAATGAGACATAATGTATACGTTTTTAATATACTTTCATAAATTTTACAACTATACAACATTCAGTTATATGATACAATCTTTAACCGCACAACTATTGAATATGAATATAATATAAAATATATCCATTGTAATTTAGAGTTCAAAGAAATTTAATTTAAATTGCAATTAAAAATAAATCATTACATTATCATAGTAACAGCGTATAATGAGTAGGTAGGTAAGTCATACTATATGTTATTGTAGTAGGTACCTATTTACAAATAGTTAAGTAGGTATACATTAAGTACAGTTTAATTATAACACTTTTTTGACAGATCTATTGTTTTATAAAAACGTTTTTATCAACGTATAAAAATATAATTATACAAACCGTTCTATCGTTAATTGTTGAAACATTTATTTTTTCGTTTGATCAATGACGTCAACAACTTACAGGCTACAACACACCTAGGTGTGTCTTAAAAGTAATCTATTTTTCAAATACCTTTCTCGATTGAGTCAGATATATTTCTACGTTCAACGTGTGAAACTTGAATAGCATTTAATACTATATTATAGTTTAGAAACTACCTACATAATCTATTCTTGAGGTGTATAATATCGTTGAGTATATTATATACTATATATACTCAATGATAATATGCATATTGTGGATATTGGATAATGGGACAATGTCTAACACTGTTGTTAAAGAACTGCGTACCTATATCTATAATATTAATAAAATTTCGAAGGTAGCAACTATATATAGGTACTCCATAAATTAAAATATAATTATTAAATATGAAATATAATAAACAATTTAGTTAGAGGTAATGTATCATGTAATGAGTTATAAGTACTTATAACAGTAAATTTTACAGTGTACAAGGAAATTAATTTTAAATTTTAAGCAGAACAATGAATGTATTGAGTTTACAATGCTTTAGGTTCTAACCAGAACAATAAATATACTGATTTCACCATGATGTATGTGTGTTTTTTTTTTCTTTGTACTTGTAATACACAATAAATAGTCGAAATAATGCTCAGAATTTTCAATTTTGAGGGTGGTTTTGGACAGCAAATTGAATCTAGTTCGTACTTTAAAGAGTTCAAAATACCTAGTGTTTTTCAAAATAACAGAGGAAAAAAGATGAACTAGAGAGTACCGCTCTGCTGTACATTAGGTGTCAAGTGACCAGTGGGTCACTAATCATTATTATAACTTATACGTATAAGTCTTGCTAAGTAGTCGCGATTAACGATAAGTACTTAAGTGTATTATGTTTAGATTCAATGATGTATCATTGTATAATTGTATACAAAAAACGATCCTGAGCAAAAATGGACTGTCATCCTATAATACCACTAAGTATAATATTTCATGAAGTGGTTTTTTTTTTTTTTTAATATAACTACTATTAAAGCAATTTATTTTACTTTTAGTATTATGGTAGATTAATACAATTTTTTCTTGGATAATGTAGCATTAAATTATTATAAAAATATACCTACGTTAATACTAGGTATACTACAAAAATTTATATAACTCAATATTTAATTTTATATTTTGTAAGCACTGCACAACAGCAAAAATAGATTCATAAATAAAAATAAATATTACCTTAGAATAAATTTTAAAAAATGCCGTTACATTAACTAAAACTTATGACAATAATATAATATACGTAAAACTTTAAGTTTCCACGAATATTTTTAAATTATAACAAAAATATTAACATTGTTATTTATCATTTAAATAAGCAACTTCGTCCAAATTTGAACTTAAAATTACTATAAAAAATAATTGCCTTAATATATTTTTTAAATTTTATGGTTTTAGTATGAACTACTTATAAGAAATATTGTATTAAATATTTATAACTTAAATATAAAAAAAAAAATTTAAGGATCTCTAATTACAAAATTGTTATTCATTTTTTGCAATTTTGATGAATTTCATCAAAATGCTAACTTCAATACATAAAAATAACAATTGTGCATAAATATTTTTAATACGTTTATAAAATTAAAGTTATCAAAAATCTTATATTGAATTCTCAAAAACATTAACCCAGCAAATAAATTTTTATCGACATTAATAAAAAAAAAATAACTAAAAAAATTGATAATTTGACATTTTTAAAAATAACTTATAATGAGTTAAAAAAATTTGAAAATTTTGTCATGCTGTAATAATCCAAATATTTTTTTGGAATTTTCAAATATCTAAAGTTATTCGTTTTTAAATTACAGCAAAAAACATGATCGTTTAGAAAAAAATAGTTATTAGTTTGGTGAAGGAAAGAAATGAAAACTGAAGAATAATCAAGCGAAAAGTGATCAATTTTTAATAAATATCCAATAAAATAAAAAAACATACTTATGTGGATCTCACATTATAGACTTAACGAATAGGTATAACTAAATTATACTGAGCACAAACACGTTTAACAAATAACAAATACAAGAATGTTTTGTGATTTACAACAAGGCGATTCTATACCTACCTATTATGTGAGTAAAATGTTGACTTCGAGTCAAAAACTACGCTTAAATCACTGACCGTGTTTCCTACGCGTTCAAGCTTGATTAGAACACTTAGATCCATACAAAATACGCTGTACTTACTTTGAAACGAGCAAGAAAAATTATCATTCTTTAAACGAAATTATCGTACCAGTACTACTACTTACCAGTAGGTATTGCCATTAGCCTGTGTAAGCTGTGTAGCTAAGTCATAAATCTGTTACATCTGTTACTAATACAAGTATTATTATTATTATTATTATTATCTATTCCCGTGTATATGGAGGTAGGTAAACAACTGACAAAGTATCCAACCACTAGTATTAAATATTATGTAGGTTAGTGGTTACATCTATCCGCAACCATGGTCAAAATTTAAAACACTGTAATCACAGTAAGCGTTTTAACTGTGTAAACAATAAATTTAAACAATAAACAATGCTTAACCATTTCCCAACGGCAATGGAGCTTAGCGTTTTACTTTTCTTGTTAAATGTTAATATATTTTAACTTAAAAGGTTTACTGAAAATTTTGTTAATTTTTTTTTATTTCCTGTTTATGTAATTGTTTCTTTAATTCGTATCATATAAACGGTTTTTGTTTCTAAAATATAACACTGAAAGAAATTAATTCGGTCACAATTCTCAGTTGTTGTTCAAATATACGAAATGGAAGTAGACGACTGTCCATCGGTATGTTTATGGTTTATTAAGAGAATATCTTACGCGCATGTGTTGTCTCTGTCTTACTAATTCATAGTATATCAAAATAAACGTTCAGCCGTTACAATTTTATGTGTTTAATTTAAATATTAGAATGTAATGATCTATTATCAAACTTCTATGTTCTCTCATTGAATTCTTAATAGTATTTTAATTTTTAAGCGAGCTATGAGTATATAAAATATATATACTTAAAAATGCTCATAATTCACTTAAAATTGAAATATTGTAAAAAAACCAGTGAGAAAATACAGATAATGCCGTTACTGTTAAGTTTAATTATAGGTTATTTCACTAAAATATTTAAGCTAAACACACTAAATTTGAACTGTTGAACATATATTTTAGTTTGGTATGTGTTAATAAGACGGGAATAACATGTGCTGGTATGACATCCTCTTAATATTGTTTTATGAACTTAAAATTAATAAATTGTTTATACTATATTATAACTTGTATAGACATCACATGTCGAACCTAATTCATCGGACGATGATGATGACCATCATGAAAACTTATCTACTGAAGAAATATGTCTTAAGATTAAGACATTTCGTAATTTATGTTTTGGAAACGTAAGTATAATTACAAAATATAAACATTAGCCTTTATCCTATGCCCATAACATTTAGGAATGAAATACTTCCCATTTACAAAACCTATTTGTTGCCCATTTTACTGATAAAAAATTTAAAGCAATTATCTGTCAACATTATAATATGCACTCTAACAGTAATAACCTAATTGTTTGCTTCTTACTCGCTCCTATAAATAAGTACATTACTATAAACTATAATTTAATAACTGTTAATTATTAGGTAATGCTACCGTTAACTGCAATTAATTAGTATAAATATTTAACATCCTTAAACAATTTTTCTATCTTTAAAAAATGTCTAATATGGAATAAAGTATTTACAAAAAATTATATATTTACAAATGTTAGGCCTTATATAAACTGGTAACTATTTTATAAATACCTATTAACATTAAAATTATTTTTTACATACATTTAAGTGGTTAATAAATCACATAAGTAATTGAAAAAAATTGTTTTTTGTCGTTATTATTTTTTAAGTGGTTTAGTTGTTTGAATAACAACTTATATTTTTAATTTTTTAAGATCAATTTATTTTAAAAGTGCTAAAGACCCTTTTGCACCTCCCTAGTTACGCCACTGAAATCCAAAACCTATCCAAGAGACACTAATGAATGGAAAAAATATTTCTTGTCACATTGTAATTTCTAGTTAAAAATGTTAGAATTCATAAATTCAAAAGACAAATAAATGTGTAGGTAAATTATAAGAAACTGGAAAAGTACAAGTCACATGATGAAGATTTAAATAAAATTATTTTATATTTTTTGAGGCTTTTACCATATAAAACGTTGCACTGGAAACATAACAAAATGTTTTTATAATTTTCTCCTACCTGCCATAATACTCTAAAAGAATCATTTATGCTTTGAATTAAGAATTTAAAAGTGTATATTGTCACTCAATAAAATCTTGAAAAATTATGTAGATAAAATAGCAAAAAAAAATTAAATATCAATAACAATAGTTATTAAAATAATAACTAGTGATGTGCCTATAAAAAGATACGTTATGAATTTATGACATACAATATATTCAATTTTTTATTTATAAAAAATGTTCAAGTAGCTGGTATCACATCTTGATAAAAGGTACTTGAATACAAATTGTAAATGATAGTCAGCACAGCAAGAAGTATAGTTGAAAGATACTTTTTGGGTAATTTAATCCTTAACTACACACGCAACTTTTGTTTTTGTTTCAATAATTACATGCGCAGTATATTTTATACACCAATTTGATTTATACAGAAATCAATATTGTACTGTATCTATATTTGACTTTATTTACTTATATAAAAACAAAGTACTACTTAAAATTGTTTTAAATTTAATTATAATAATATAAATATAAAAAATATTGTAATTATTATATTATAATAGATAAAAATAAAAATATCTTACTGTTAAATAATTGTTACTAACTTAAATTAAATCCTACTCACTCTCCTGACTTATTATACATCTTACATATCTGAAAACAGCTATTATGTGCTCTTAACATGTAAACTACTGTTATGAATAATATTATATTATTGTCACTATTTTTTTGCTCATTTCATTCACCGATACAAAAATAATTAAATTCAAAGCTTGTTTATACTACTAAAAACATTGAATAAAGATTAAAATGAATTAATAAATATTATATAAGGAAAGGTTAGGAAAATAACTTAAAACAAATATAGACCAAAATAGAACGAGGTAAAAAAAAATATTAGTGTACAAAGTACACCAGTACGTGTAGTTAAGAGTTAAAAGCTTTCAGCTAACAAAATGAGTTTAATTTCCTTTGCAATTTAGCAAAATTACAGTTATAATTCAGTAAACTATAAAATAATATAAATATTTCAATACAATAAAAAAAATTAAAAAACTTAATCAAAAATATTCTAACTTTCCATTTTGACAATAGGTAAATTTACTGAAATATTAAAACTTACTATAAAAATCAACTTGACTGATTTGCTAAACTGTATGTTTGTGAAATGATCATATCCACTTCATAACTATTAATTAAAAGATTTATTGCTTATTATAGACTAAACATTAACTTTTTTAAATTTATTTTTTAGAAAATAAATGTTTCTAACGCATTTGACATTGATATGATTGGATATTTCTATTCGTGGTTAGAAAAAAAGAAAAGCTCAATTTTTGTAGAGAGTCATGATGTTACCTCGGTAAGAAATTTAAAAATTGTTTTTATTTATCTTAATTGAATTAATCTACTTCAATTTTTTTGTGTGTTAGTTCCAAGAAATAAGTGACTACCTAGAAGCTTCGGCAAAAGTTTATTCTTATCGTGTTGACAATTTAACAGAAACAACTAGTAAATTAGTTGAACAATTTAAAAGCTTGAATTATAATAAAAAAACGGCTAAAATAGATGATAATAATGCGCCTAAAACTTATAAATCAAAGGTAAATATCAAAACCTAATAACTGTTAATTTAAAATTATAAACATAATTATTATTTTTAAGTAAATAAATCATTTTTATGGAATATAGAGACAAAAAATAATGCTGACTACGTCTGATAAATTAAGACGTAGACCAAATGAAAATGAAATTTCTATTAATCCAGTTTTAATTAATCAAAAGATTTCTGGCTTTGATTGTAATGAATTATTTTCCACTAATCGTCCATCTCACCATCTTAAGTCATTGTACTTCAATAAATCCTTGACAGAAGAAATGAAAACTACTATTGATGAAAAAAAAGAATATGATGAAAAAAAACATGACAATGAAAAGATAGAAGTTGATAAAAGTTTTTTTCAAATGATGGGTATACCAGTTATCTATGAAATGTTTTCCTGTTATGCTTAGTTATAAAATAATACGATTATTTGTATAGATAAAATTTCCCAAGGAGCTATCTGTCCTGAGTTCAAAGGTTTTGTAGCTAAACGTGACATAGTTGACAAAATTGACAATTCAAACGATCATCAATTGAATGGAATTGAATATCGCTTTGATCCTAATGATTATCAAAACAACCTTGATGACTCTACGTGTATTGAACCAGATAATAATGAACTTGGTATTTGTATATAATAATCACTTAAAAGTCCATGGATATCTTTTTTTGTTTTTCTATTACAAAAATGTACATAAATAAACATTTTTCATACACTTCTTATAAGCCAATTAAATTTACAATTTATAATATTCATTATTATTAGATATCCAAGGACTATAATAAAATGTTTTACTTCAATAGAATTGTATATATAAATATATTTTTAAGATTCCAACCCTAAGGATAAAGATACAACAGTACTTGATGGACTTTTGAAATGTATTGATAATGTTGATAGAGACTATAGCTTTTTTAATCCTAAACTTCTTGCTAATTGGAAAGGACCAAAAGCCTGGAAAACTCAAGCAATGATAAAAGCATTGAAATCTTGCACTCAAAGTAATATAAAAAAAACAAATTTATATTCAATAAAACTGAATATCCTTAAATTACTTACAATATCTATTATATAAAATTATTATGTAATTTGTGTTTTAATTTATAGATGAACGAAAAGAAATTATTTCTAACACTGATGATAATATTGCTGAAAGCACACAGGAAAATTTGAAACAACCTAAATCTTGTAAAAAACGAAATAAAGTTAAGAACGATAAAGTTGTAATAAATTGGTTAGATTTGAGTCAAGTAGATGAAATATTAAAACCAAAAGTTGTAGGCAAGGAAAAAATGCTACCTCGTACACTACAAAAGTGGGATCCACTTCACAATATATCTGAAACACAATCAATTATTGTCAATGTAAATTATAAGTAAGTAAACAATTATAATAGCAATGATTTTCTTTTAATTACTTAACCGTAACCAGTGTAGAATCAAATAATATAATTAAGGATATTTTTTAAAGAACTAATAATCCATTCAAGAACTTATGATTTTTTATGTTAATCTTATTTATTTTAAATAAAACAAATATGTATTATATAACCATTACTACTTATAAAATATAATGATGTACAATAATACTTTAAAAATACATTTTTATTAACTCATGCATAATTTATATTTAATGTTTAAAATAAAGGTTTCAATTTTTACAATATTATGAAATTAAACCAGATTGGTGGATAAATTACAATGATCAAGAAGAAGGCAATTATTCTGAAGATTTAAATTCCTATCAGGTACAAATTAATATTTGATTAGTTAAATTTAATACTCAGTGTCTAAATACTTGAGTGTCTATATAGATAATGTGTACACTGACCAATATTGTTTATATTCTATACCTGGCCTGGTTAGTCAATATGGAGTTGCTCATGGTATTTATAATAAATTGTACCTAATCAATAGTCAAAATGGTATAATATACTTATGAATTTTATTTTTTATTTTTTTTTTTTAATTAACTACGAATGACTGTAAATTTTGATTATTTTATTAATTTTCCTTCTTTTATTTTGATTTTCACATCTACATAAACTAGCTTTATAGACTTCCTCACTTTGACTTTATAAATTGAAACTAAATCAAAAATTGTTTTATCATCAGTAAAGTGGTTAGTAGTAACTAAATTTATAATATTAATTTTATATTACCTAAAAAGTATTATTTAATTGATTTTAATTTCAACTATTAAACATGTACCTTAAGTTAACTAACATAACATAAATCACCCAAGTCATGCTTATAAGACTGGAGTTAATGTTTAGTGATCTTTAACTAATGGTTACTTTAACATCATGTGATAATAAGATTTAATGAGATAGTTACTGCAGCACAAGAAATTAGTGAAAATCAATCTAACTGGTATAAGAAATGAATGATTTGAAATCTAGATCTACAAATTAGAGAAATTATTTATATTAATGAGTATATATATATATATATATATATATATCAGTAACTAATGATAGATGTATTAAAGAAAATATAACAAATTTATCATACAACTCTTGTTGTGTAATGTATTATTTTGACAAATTGTATACCAAGTTCATAAGTTTATTTCGACTAATAGTTTTACTTATTTTTAAAGATAATTTAATTAATTTGAATTTTGCACCAAATGTATAACCAGAGTTTGTATAATGGTATATTCATGACATGAAAATGTGTGCATTGACCAGTCAGCCAGTTAGGTATAGAATATTGACATGGTTAGTTTGTGTACACTTTATCCCCACAGACACTTAGGTATCTAGATTCTAGAAATAGTGAATTTAATACTATAAATATAACCTACAAATTGTATTTCTTATTTGTATATAAACCCGTTTTATAAATTTCTCAAGAAAGATGTATACTTTTTTTTATGTATAATTATTATATTTTTAGAATATCAATGATTGTAATGAAAGTATTGCAGAACCATCAGAACCCATGGAAATTGATTGTGAAGACTCTGAACTGTTAAAAAATAAAAATGATGACGAATTGGCTCCCTTCGATGTATCTAAAGAGGTAATTTATATAATATTTATGACTCGTTAGCTTAGGAAATAGGAAGCCCGAAGTATTACTACATTTTTTTTATTAATTTAAAATAATTATGAAATTTTTAACTATTATTATTATACTAGATTGTACCCACCATATGAGTAGATATTATGTTATCAATGTAATATTCATAAGTGTTGCACTGGTTAATCAATATGAGTTATAGTTAATGTCGAACATTTGGTTTAATTCCTAACACACATTTATTAATAGCAATTAGACTGGCTGCCAACCAACCATATGTTGTTAATTAATATATAAACCATTACATTATTGTTTTGACATAATATTCTTAGAGATTGATAATTTTAATTAAAAATGTCTAATTCATGTGTAAAATTGTTCAAAAATTGTAAGTTAAAGTAATGAGTATACCTATGAGTACAGCACAAAAAACACAAATAATGAAACAAAAATTAAAAGCTATCAAACTTCTAAAATTAAACAGTTATTTCACAAAAACAGTCAAATCTATTTTAGAAAATCCATTTAAATAGTTATAAAATTATAAAATGTATTTTTAATAAAACATGCTATTATAATTTTGAAAAATGTAAAAAACTTTAGTAAGGCAAATGCACTCGCCAAGACCTCACTATAATATGCTTGGATGATAGGACGGTGTTAAAAATGTTTACCCCTAGGCTCAAATTTTAAAGTTACGACACTATATTTATGTTTCATCAAAATCATAGTCTAAATATGTTATAAGATGTTAAATTATTTGATATGTATTTTAATATTATTCTACTTGTAATTTATAAAATATAAAATTATTTTAAGTACATTGTAGCATATTGTGAACATAATGCACTCAAACAATAATATATTACAACATATTTTTAAGAATAGATTAATAAAATATAATGCCTTTTGATAGTAATGTAAACATCGTAAATATATTTTCAACTTCTAATATATTTTCATTTTTTTTCTAGTTGACCTCTAATGATGATATTATAGCTGACATTAAAACTGAATCAAGAATGGATATTGCAGAATTAAAAAAAGAAATATCTAACATCATCGATGAAGAATGTGTAGTAAGTGACTATATTATAATAATTTTTGATGTTTTATTTATAATCCTGATTATTTATAAAGGAAACTGGCCACAATAATGAATGGAGTTCAAAACTATCGTTTTTAAACTTGTTGATAAAATTACGAATTAATGAACGAGATGGACTTTCAATACCTATTGTATATGTCGGACTACTACATTTAGCAAATGAACGAGGTCTGAAATTGTATCAAGAACATTGTACCATAAATGATATGGAAGAAACTTTTATTGTCAAACCAATGAAAACAAATTAAACGTTATTTATAATTAGATTAAAACCATTTCATTATTCTTATTTTATACTTGTCGATTGTTTTTTGATAACTTTTATAAATTTTGCTTTCTTTTTATTTTGTATAATTCAAAACAGTGAACATTAAATTTATAACTAAAAAAAAAATTTAATACATAAGTAAATGAATACAACATTAAAAATATATGTTCAATACATTTGAGTTGATGTTATCATAGATTAAATAGTACTATAGAAACGCAACAGATTATTGCTCAATATTTTAGTTTAGATTTAATTCATTGATGATACATTGTGATAGAAGGAGGTGGGAAATAAGTATCTATTTGTTTTGTGCATCCGTACACCACCAATGATACAAGTCCACGATTAAAACAATGAGCAATGAATTATTCTATAAGCATTGCGTTTTATAATACTTTATTTAATCTATAATATAATGCAGCTATTTCATGTTTATTAAAAATATTTGTTGTAACATATATTCATAATGATTCATGTAAATATTAATTTTAATTTTACTATTAAAGAAACCAATACGCTTAATATAAATGTATATTGTATTTATTTATTTAATTCCAAGTTCTTAACTGTTAAATGTATATGTACTGTAAGTTTTTAAAATAATTTTAGTTCAGGGTCAACGGTTATTAAATTAAACTAAATTATGTCATATTGAGGTGGAGTTGAATATTATATTTAACTTGTATGTTATGTGTTATTAACATTTTAAATTTTGTTACCCATGTTTAATAAATGAAAAATAATATCATGTGTAATTAAATTTCTATAATTTTGATAACATATTTTTGTAGAGGTTATTGGTTATTATGCTTAGTCCATTTTGATTCTTCATTACTCATCAATATACTAGAGATGTCGAAGAATATTTAGATACACTTTATTTGAAGTATTCATTAGGGAATATGGTTGATTTCAGTGCTCAAAATGGACCAGAATGTACCAGAACAATGAGAATTAAATTAGAATTAAAGAATTCCTGATTAGAAAAATATTGAAAAAAGAAAATTGTTACTTGGTAGTGTTTGACAATATCACCATCAAAGAAATTATAATTCTTAATAAATAATTTTATAAAAATGAAATTTCCAAAAATGCAAGTATCTTTAAACTTGGGATTGCAGTTACTATTGTGAATGTATTCTGATAATACTGCCTATAGAGTATGGACTATTTGTATCTATAAATTTCTAATAATTTTAATTGTAAAAGCTTATAATTAAATATTTTAGTCGTTGGTGCATTAAATATAAATTATTTTTGATTATTGAGAAAATATTAGCCTACTTGTTACAGCAGAGACGGATTAGCTAGGGAGATATTTCTCTCTGGGCCGATGAAAATAAAAAAATATGAACCAGCTCGGTACAGGAATGATAGAAAGAATATGAAACAAATTCGCTAATATTATAAGAAATTCAACTTTTTTTTATTATTTAACCGATGGCTCTAGAAGCCAAGTAGACTGAAAAAACATGCTGATGTACATACATAGTTGACTCGCTATATGGTCTGGAGGCCGATAAACATTTGTTGATATTACTAATAAATGTATTTTAAATAAATACCAAACAGTTTTAATCCACAATTAGTGAGCCAACGTAGGAATAAGTAATATGATAAGTTCATGATCGAACTGTACAATTTATAATTTATAATTATTTTAGTAAGTATATATTGTATGTTAATAAATTATACATGCAACATCACTATTTTAGTTAATCCACAATAAATGATAATAGTAATGTGATTAAAAGTCTGAAAAAAATATACACTATTGCAAATGTAGACTAGAAATTAAATTAAAGCTTACTTGCTCATCGTAGTTTAAAATTATTTGTATATAATACAATATTTAGTATTTTTTTTTATTATTATTATTATTATTATTGTTATTATTAATTTCTTACACAAAAGTTAATTATTTTTAGTATAAATTTTAATTTTTTAAATTAAAACATACAAATATAGCTGTTCAAAAAACTAGGTTATCCTTAAACAAAAATATATCTTTTTAAAATGCATAGACACAAAGGACAGTAAATTTGATTTGATGTTTTCAACGGTTTCCAAACTTTCATCAAGTGAAAGTGACGCAATTTTCAGTTTTAGAACAGAATAAGTAATAAAACTAATTCAATTTTTATATTCCTATTTTCAATTAAAGCTATTGCATTTATTATAGACTAAATAGTGTTTTTGTCTATGGATAAGTATAAGATGTGGAGGCAATAGCAGTTCAAGAAATAGTTTCGAATTTTAGCTAGGTGTTATTTTTTATTGATAGTATTCTATTTTCTTCTTTTACCAACCTCCACGGCTAAAATAACCATCACTTATTTCATCATGATATAATTTGTAAACACTTAAACTAAAGCAGTAAACAGAATTTGTAAAAAAAATTGATAATGCACATAAATTCTAGCCCTAGTAATAAAGTAAAATGTAAATCAAACTAATTTTTGCCAAAAAACAATTTGCATATTATATTATACAGGTAATTTTATTTCATATAATATTATAAGCTACAATTTTTTGTCTATATCATTAAACATGCATAAATGGTCAAATTATTATATTAATAATGGTATAAATTAGTTTAAATAATTCTAAATATTTTAAAAATTGTAATACTTTGCATATTATAGAATGGTTTAAATGGAGTAACTTCCAAAATTAATCTTAGGGTATTCTTCATAGAAAAATAATATACAAGTATTTTAGAAATTTTTTAAAAATCTAAAATCTAATAAAATCGATACATATTTACAATTTTATTCTCCTGTAACATAAAATCTTGCAATGGTCATCAATCATCATTAATACTTTTTCGTAGTTAACAATTTTTAATGTACACCTATTACAACAAATATTTAAATGTTTATAATTTGTGCTTATATTAAATGTTGTTAGTTTATTAGAGAGGATCATTTTTTTTCTTATTAAAATACATTGCTTTATTTTTTATATCCGTTATTATGGTTGATTGAGGGCAATTTATTATTAAAGAGATGAAATCTTAGTATATACTAAATTGACACAAAAATGTATAGAATTATAAGTAAACTAAGTTTATGTATCTTTGTATTTAAATTCTTCATTTAATAATACATATTTTGAATTAATTTAACAATAAATCTAAGTAGTGAAAATATACAAATGTAATAACATTACATATTCTACCGCAACTCTTAGATGTATTTGATTTTTTTACAGGATTTTAAATACTTAATTGATCTTAAGTAATTTCAAAACCATATCCAATTTAATCTAGATAAATAAATAAAAAATATACAAAGTTAAATTTAATTTTTATTATAAGGATGAATTTTAAAATTAACTAATACATTTTTGATTTGTTAAATCAATCCATTTTAATAATTTATTTGAAATACTAAATACAAAAACAAATTCAAAATGTCCTATAGCAGTTTCAGCTAATTAAATTTAATTCAAAAATGTAAGTTATACAGGAAAAATAAGTACATCAATAATGATATATAAGTACATCAACAATATTTTGTGAGCGTAAAAATTAATAATAATAGTGATAATAGTAACTCTTAAACAGTCAGTATTAATTTTTCTTTGAATTTTCGTCAGTTACACCTGAAAATTTAAAATTAATTATAAATAAGATAACTGCATCCATTGTATTAATTAGTAAAATATAATTAAAGATTTTTACTTTTTCCATCACATGCAACAATTTTCAATTTTTCGACTTTAGCCATTTCTTGTGTTTCTTTGAACTCTACATCACTTAACATAAATGTCCAAACATTGTCACAAAACCTATAAGTGTCCATTTTTCCAGCCTAAAATATATAAAAAAAAAAATGTTAACAATATCTCTAAACCAGATTTCTTAAGGTAACTATTAGTAGGTATACAAAATACCATCATTTTAAAAACGTTATGCAAAAATAAAACTCATGAAGCTGTATGCTATATTTTTAAATAATAATTTGAGAAAACTAATACCAAATCAAAATATTAACGAATAGTAGTTTTAATCAAATAATTTATTTTTAAGTAAAGTAAACCTTAATCAACACTGTTTTCAAACTATTTATGTTTATTATACTTAAAAAAAAAAAAATATTTGGTATTATTATCTATCCTAGTGTTTCTTAACTTTAAACCTAACTAACGGCTCCCTTAGAGTTTGCCACCTATTAATTAGGTTCTTTAACGTATAATTTAAAATTTAAATCAACACAAAAATAAAAATCTCGAATAATTATGTTTATGTAAACGTAAAGTAATGAAAAAATAAAATCAATAAATATTACAATATTACATAATATGAGCATATATCATTATATATTAAAACGGAAAACATACTATTATTATTTTTATAGCAATATTATTGGTTGACGTTTATTGAAGAACCTATAAAAAAATGTCAAAAATAGATTATCAACTTATGATAAGGCCACTGCTATAGTGCAGGTTATATTATAGTATTGATTATTAATAATAAGTAGTATGTAAAAAAAAAATATGTAAGAGGTCAATAAAATATTGAAATTCTAAAAGGGGATCGCCACAACAAAAAGGTTGAGAAACACTAGTCTATCCAAATCATGTACACATTTATTATTACAATTTTTTAAATTATAATCTAATACTTGTGACTAGGTATTACCAATAAAATATGAGTTAATTGCTTAGAGATGTATAATTGATACAAAATGTTATTTTTATTCATTGTAATAATATAAATAGAACTAGTAAATAAATGCAAAATGTATTTTCATTTTATACAATTAAATGGATACCCCCAAATAATTGTTAAATGTGTAATAAAATGATTAAAACAATTTTATTTGCAAAATTAATTATATTGGTTTAATGCATCTATTTAATATTAATTATTAAATTATTAATATTTCTACACTTGACAATAATTCAGAAATATTAACAACTTAACGACAGGTAATAAATAGAGAACAAATTTTAATGTAATTAATAAAAAACAAAAAATGCACATAAATGTGTACTAATTAAAGAAAAATATAAAAATGGATAATAAAAAATTTTATATTTATCACTAATCTGATTCTTAAAACAATGTGAAACTACATATTCTTTGAGATTTAAAAATATTAAGTAAAAACGAATTGGTCGAAACATGCTTCTATATTGACTAAATTAACCTCCACATCAACTGATACATTAAGGATATACTTAATAATATTAACTTTATCATCAATGACAAATGATCCTTTGGAATTTAGTTTTAAAGGTATTTCTAATTATTTTATATTTTTTAGCCAATGATTTTTTCTCTAATTAAATTTCTTATGTAAACTCGTGCTTCATCAAAAATGCATAAGGTCATCTTACAAGGGCATATTTCAGGTTTTTAAATTTGTCATCGAATTATTAGCTATTTAAATAACATAGAACTTTTTTTTTATCATCCAAAACATCGGGATAAATCAAAAATTACTAAGATATTTACAAAATATGTTCTTATTTACTAAATATGTAAATATAATTAGAATGATCTAAATTATAAATATTTTAATCAGATTAAAAATATTTCATTCCAATAAGATTATGTATTTACAATGAAATCTGTCCCCTAGTAATGAATAACACTAGAAAAACTAAATAATACATTTTACAATGATTTCAATCATTAAGAGGATGCGACACCCACATCACACATGTATTGTCTAATGTCTTACACACATACAATATAGAAAATTTGCTTTCAGTAGAATTCATTAAGTGTCATTAAATTTAATATTAATATAATATTAATATAATATCAATATAACATTATTAGTGATAAAACGTTAGAATTTTTTTAGATGTTTAAATTTTTAAATAAGACATGAGTAGGTAAAATATTATAATTGATAATACTCATATATATTATATATATTATCTTAACAATAAAGTTATATACTTTATAATAACGACAAAACAATTTTAAATTATCTGTTTCTATTCAACATTTAATATCTTTGATATCAAAATGGACTGCAAAATATTGCAAATATAATTAAATACATACAACAGTCTCAATACTTGGAGTTTGTAAAGTAAGATTCTTTGTTAAACCAATTTAATAAAAAATAAAACCATGTCTAATGCAGCACAACTAATTAACATTTTAAATGTTATCTGCAATTTTCCAAAGAAAACATATCCTAATAACACTAATGTGTTTTACTGAAATGCATGCAATGCAAGTGTTTTGACTACTCAAAAATTCATAGTAATTATTTGACTTTTTTAATTCAAAATACAAGAAAAACACATAGTATAGATATTTTAAATAACATGATTTCTGTTGTTTTACTTTGCAATGATTAAATTTTAAAAACAACTGTACTGAATAACAATTCTAAAAAAGTTGATTTAATTCATTATTGTATTATTAATCTTGAATTATGTATTACATATTCAGGCCATTTCAATAACATATACATTTATAGATTTTGAAATTTTTAATGTGTACAAATATTGGTCTTAATAATAATTACTAATTAGGTACTTAGGTTGAGGATTCTAAGCAAACTAGTGGCCAAAAATCATATATAAAACATAAAAATGACTAATTTTTACAAAGAATACATAAAAAATCGAATGAAAAATAAATTTATCAATTTAATGTATGTTATTACACAATTATTTGGATAATTTCAGTCAACTCCTGTAATAGGTGTAATAAAATTTGGAATTCTCCATTTGCCAACCGATAAATAGGTGTATGAAAGTATTTCCATTCGAGGCACTCATACAGTTATACTTGTTAACATTCTATATGCGCTATTAATGCTTAGTTCTTTGCTGAAAACATCAAACAATTTACCTTAAATGTAATCTTAGACTTGACTCGTGTGGCCAATGAATTGTTTACTGACTTATCGAACTGCAGCAAGATCTTCATGCCGAGAGCTGGTGTTATTTGACCATACTGAAATATCGAAGCGTACATTTTAATTATATTAAGTAACAATACGTTGGCGAGCGGTCTACGTTATTGACTACAAAGAATGCATTACTTGAATCATTTCGTCGATGCTTTCTTGAAGCGTATTCCCCAGAGTCGTGTTTCTATATAGCTGATAAGACATGTTTATATGAAATTACGATTTTCGAACGTTTCAATGAACGGAAAAAAACGGTTTTAGGTCGGCGGACGATGATTCAAAGACGTGACATCGACATTCGGTGAACGATCGGAGTCGCCGACAGCACCACAAGCTACAACTGAAACGTCTGAAACGCGTGTGGCGTCGATCCGAACGGAATATCGAATCAACAACAACAGCGACGCAGCGTACACTCACGCAGTCACGCTCGGTTTATCGACCAATATCACTGGTGATCAACTTTCGGATAACGTTCAAACAGCCTGCCGTCCATTTGGTCCACAACCACCGTCGTTCGTGTGGACCTTATTGTGTAAAAATCACGCTGTGCGGGACACTGCGATTGTTGTTTCCACATTAATAAGTAGCCAGTAGGGCCCGGATTTATATGCATTTGCATGTTTTTTCTGAATAGTCCAAAAAATAACTAGATAAGCTACAATATTAGTTTGAATTTTAGTCAATAGATCCTAAATATAAAGTTTTATTTTGCATATTTTTGCATATTTTGTCATTTTTTTGATATGTACTATACATTGTGTATCTATTTTACGATTTTTTCATTGCACATATACGATTTTTAAATGCAAATATGTAATGTTTTACGCTATTTTAATTAAAATAACGTATTTATAGTCCATGTAATTCAACAAAATCGTTTTCTTATCTTATCTGACACCTATCGGGACAAGTAGTAATCTGTTATTGAATAGACTTTAGTGAATCATACATTCATCGTGATCTGTATGTGTACAACTTCATTCGATTTTATTTATTTATACTTAATGAAAATAAAATTCATTTTTTTAATCGATTTGTTTGCATATGTAAAGTGTATAGGTATTTGAATGATAATCAGTACATAAATACATGCATATTTAATACATTTTTAGTGCATATAATTCCGGGCCTTATTAATAAGTAATATTTAGGGCTTGGGTGTTTGTGAAATTGCATATTTTTTTCTATTCATCCAATTTAATACTAACATTGTTAACCTAGATACAAATTTAATTCATATCTGCTGAATCAAATAATACTATTTTTATTTTGCTTATTTTTGCATATTTAATGGTTTTGAATTTTAATTGCATATTTTAGAATTTTAAAAACAAAAATGCTCATTTCGGTACGTCTTTTTAAAAAACATTTTGAATTATCAAACTATACAATTAATTCCACAATTTGTATGAGTAAGTTTTATAGCCTTATAGGTGGTAACTATATAATCTACCACGCATTGACGTAAAATATAAATGTTTATTATCGACTTATTGTGTTTGTTCAGGATTACAGTACTTTATTGGATAAGGTCTAAGATAACATCATTTAAAGTAGAACGAAGCTTTTCACGCTACAAAAATTTAAATAGCGATAATAGACGCCGCAGTTACAATTTGACAAATTAAAAAAACTATAGTAGCACAGTGTAACGCTAATATCTAATGATAATAATTAATAAATAATAATCTAAATTAAAGTAAATAAAACGCTATGTAAGTTTAAAAAATGTAGGTATTTTAAATTGTATTAAAAAATATAATAAATAAAAGTATAACTACTATAGGTAATAAAAATAAAATATTTATGTTTTATGAATTATAATATATTTTTTTTGTGCATATTTTGGCGTTTTTATTAGCTAAAAATACATGTTTTAAAATTTTTAGTACATAGTTTGATTGCATATTTCGTAATTTTTTAGTGCATAAATGCACGTATATTATATAGTAGTTTTAAGTGCATAAATATCCGAGCCCTGAATTAATATCATTTAACGATGTAGCGCGTTCCTGGTTGGCTTAAAGCGGCCGTGAGGAGATACCTAAATATTTAATATACAGAACACTTGTAATTTTTAAGTAAGAATGAGTTACAATGATTTTTTAATATTTTAAACAATAACTCGAACAAAAATAGCCAACCGCTGTGTAAAAATTACTAGTGAGTACCTATCTTAGTTAGGCATACGTGCGGGTAGGGCTGATTGAGCTTTAATCCCACCTGGGCCTTTTTTTTATTAGCGGGTGGATAGGCATATATCGATTGCGCCAAAATGACTTTTTTACCTGTAAGAAATCTATCGATTGTATGGCATATCATATTTATATTTATGTATCTAAATATATTTTTAAATGCTATTGTGTATAAATGTAATAATGTTTATTAAATTTGAATGCAATAACTTAATGGTAAAAAGATTGAAGATTCAAACATTATCTAGAAATAAGCATAAGCTAACCTATTTATATCATCACAAAAATAGCTTGTACATTTAAATAATAATATTGGAGTGTTACAAAAACCACATTGAAAAATTAAATCGAGATACCAAAATTGTATGTATTTTATTTTAAACCCAATAAAATTGAAAAACGCGTTTTAATTTTAATTTTTCAAAAAATTGATATTGAAGATTTTCAATTTTAAAATACTTAAATTGAAAATGATGTTAGTAAGATTCTTAAATTTTATGTTTTTTGTACGAGTGTTAAGTATTATTATAAATTATAATAACTGTTGAAATTAAATAATAGACACTCTGTATAAATTAGTATTTGTTAAATAGCTTAGACTATAATGTTAAGTATAGTCACATAATTTTAATATTTAGTTATAAATTCTTATTAAGCTCATTTCTCTTTATCATGAAAGTGGTAATATATGAATACGTATACGATATCCACATTTACAAGTAGGTATGAGTTTTGATAATCAGTCGAGTTATGCGACCCATTGTCTATAATACGTTCTAAAATTGAATATTATAATAAATTTTATATTACAAATATTTTCTTGCACTTATTCTTAATAACTTACTCCACTTAACAATAAAACAAATACATAATTAACATACTCATTTGATAACTAACGACATTTAATATTTTTAATTTTTACGAAACAAAATCTACGGGTCTTATATATAAGGAAAAACCGTAATTAAAAATTAATTAACCGATTGCTAGTAACCTGCAGTGGCACCGAGTTTTGTAAATTTAAGTGGAGTCAAATCACCCACTCACATCGCTATTTAAGTGTGACATTTTTTTTTAAAAATTCTCAAATCTCAAGCCAATTATTTAACAATTGTATGCAGTACTCAGTAGCTAGTAGGCAATAACATTTTTGTGTAAATTCATCTTACCGAGTTAAATATAACCAAACAATTTTTTTCACTGCACTTGAAATGTATTTCTAATCAATACCTAAAAAAAGAAGTGGATTAGTCGCTCCACTTGATATATCATGTATTCAGCGGCACTGATACAAATTGCATAAAATAAAAAAATTTAATTTGCCAAGTTAAAAGTTGTATTTTAAAAAGTAATTCATGTAAATTAGAAAAAAGTACCTGTATCCAACATAACTTTAACTTTTTAACTCGTCAATGTCTATTCTAATTTTTGAATATTATTTGGTGTACCCAAGTGAACGGGTATTACTAAGTGATACTAAAACGCTTTTTTATTTATTTTTTTAACTAATACTGATTAATATTAACACAAGATATTTTTTGGTTGTGAATCAATTATTGTCTATTATTATTGTAATCCATAGAAGTTTAATACCAGTATGGTAGTTAGTGTAGTTGTAGTATAACTTTACAATATACCTTTGTATATCTTCAAAAAATCAAAACATGTAATTAACGATTTTCACAAGCATTAAGCACTATAGCTATACCTAAACATATAAGATATGACAATATGGTAAATAGATATATAGGTGGTCACACATAAAATATAAATGTTATTTCTATGTAATACACTTGTCTTGCATATTATAATATATTAAGTATGTAACTTCAAACACTCAACATTTAAATAATTTTAATCGAATATATTATTTTTTTTTATCTAAATACTTCACAAGTTAATAGATTTTCACAAGAAATCTAAAATTATTATAATTATATGTAAGTGTAATCATGTGAAATTGAAATCGTAATATTTTAATACGTGACTTATCTCAAGCACATATTCTTGGTAATATAAGAATTTAGAAAAAGATAATATTTTCTTATAATTAGGTACAGAATAAATGTAGAAGGTACGTCAAATTATTTGTTATTTTGTACAAATTATTCATTAATACTTAAAATTTATCAATATTTATTAAAATGTAAATAATAACATGCACTCTGCACATGCAGATTTAAAAGATACTTTCAATATTTTTTTACAAATTTTGGTAAAATTATAAACATTTTATGTAACTATAACGCCTAAATAGTAAATATCTTCTTGATTTATTAATTTCTATTAAATTATGACAACATTATCTAAACAGAAAATGTTATACTATTGTGTATAGAAAAACACATTTAAGTTAAACTCTACGTACAGAGGACATTTAATAGTCATAGGAAGTTTAAGAATATCTACTATAAAAATAAATTATAAACTATGTGTACATAAACCTAAAAAAAATAGATTATACGAGTTCGTACACATTAAAAATTATGTTATTTATTAGTTATTACATAGATATATACATTTATTTTAATTTATAAAAAATTAGATATTATTTACTAAAAGTACCTAAGTATGTAATGAAAATTATTTATGAATTAAGTTGGTGTATTATGTACATTTAAGAAAATCAGTTATTTTTTTCTTCACAATAAATATCATGCAAATTAGCTACCAAAGTCTATTGAAAATCACCCAATCGCATCTTTTTTATTTTTAAAATATTTATTATTTTACGAGTTTCTTTAAAGTTTGATTACATATCAACTAATTCAACAAATTTTCAATTATTGAATATAGGAAAACAATTAAGATAAGAAAATAATATGAACAACACGTATACAAGATAATTAACGTAGTATTTTTATTACTTAAACATTTTTGATAGTACATAATATATTATTTTTAATGATGAAAGTATTATTTTTATACCGTGGTTTTTAGTGCACACATTCACTATTGACAGTGTTTGTTATTTAAAAGTTATAATCCCAATGGTGTATTTATATTTTTGCTGAGAAATTTAAAAGTGTCCGCTATTGGGAATATGCACATTTTTAAGAGGTATCCGTTAATGCAAATTACATTATATAAATTTGATAAATATTTCAAGTCTACTAAATTTTTGAATATTACAGCAAAATTGATAATCTTAAAATTTGATTTTCTGTTAATATTCCAGATTTTTCAAATTTCCTTTAGGAAACTCAAAGTTGATAAGGTGATGCAGGCACGAAA